AACCCCAAAAGGTGCCAAAATCATCGTTGTCTGGTATGATTTCTTCACTTCCCAAAGGCCAGCAATTATCCAGGCTGCTGTCTGGGGGCATTGAGGTACCAGGAAGGGCTAAAGCTGTGGGAACAGCTGGGCTAAGCCCAGCTTTAAAAATAATGGCTAAATAGCATTGGAGAAATATCTGCACTGCACGCAGCAGGCAAGGAGAAATGAAGTAGCAGAGGCAAGTTATACTGATTGCATTAAGTAAAGGCACCACTCAAGTATTACTTATTTCTTGGCCTTTGTATCAACATCAAGCCTAAGCAAGAGAAATGTAATCACAAAGTGACAGCTAAACATGATCCACCTGGTTTTACCATGTAAAGCTCAAAGCTGAAAGGGAAGCAAAACGCTATAGTATCTAACGTGGGTCTAGATAAAAAAATCAGATCAAACAACCTCATCCTCCTTTCTTTGTAGCTTAAGAGGCTTTTGCAGGAACCTGGTAATTTCTGTGTTCCTTTCAATACAGGAAATCTAAATCTCCCTGATGCAAAGTCGTTTGAGGGCCTTCATCTCGCTGCTCCAAAGTGACTTGGTGATTTTGAAAACTGAATAAATGTTTCTCAGCAAAACCCTTCCAAGAGTCATAAAAATCTTGGCAGATGAAACAGCAAATCAGCCTGAATGATTTGCACAACTGCAAGCACTGGTTTAGAAGCTGCTGGCCAAGAGCATCCAGAACTTTTGTCCTCACTTGGCTTTTTTGGTCCGTTGCATACCTCTAACAGCAGAAACAGAAGCCTTGTGGTGCAGGACAGTGACTTCTTTCACGCGTGTTGCAAATTGCGTTAACTGGGCCATGAATTGGCAGCTCGAGGTGGAAATTGTGCTCTGCCTGGTGTTTGTCACTGACAGCTGCACACTGGTCAGTGGGGATAAATGCTGCCAGAGCTTTTGATTCACCGACTAATGCGTTTAGGGGGAGAAAGCTCTGCTGTGGATGGAGAAGGATAGACCAGGTCTGTTTTGTATGAGGCAGCTCAGTTGGAAAGGTCTGGTCCTCGATGAAACCTGTTCTTCAGCTGCACTTCCTAAGTTGATAATTGTGTTTCCTTGAGGAGCAGAGTCTGAAGATAAAGCCAGATAAGGAGAGAGGGGAAAGGAGGGCTGGAAATGGATGGCCAAGAATGGGTAACGTGTAAGCAGCTCTCTTCAGAGACTCCCTTTGTCATCTGGCATGTTCTTCTGGAAGTGAGAATAGATTCTTGGGCAAGTGAAAGGAGCAGGGGCAATTACAGTATATTCAACTAAAATAACAAAGCCTGTAGGGTACAGCCAAGTAACAAAGGGGATGTCAGTGTTATCTCCACCTTGTTTGTGAGGAGCTGTTTGGTGTCCTCCTGAGTGCCTTGCGCAGGGCTCGTCACGGGGGGTTACCGCAAGCATTAGCAGCAGCCTTCATCTCCCCTTCTCAGGTTTGGAGACACTGGGAACAAGTGAAAGAGGGGAACAGGCACTTTAGAGCTGACCTGAACAATACAGGCATTAGGTGTGCACTTAAGGGAGTGAAGGTGTAGTACCGTGAACAGCACCATAGAGTCATGTAGGTTGGAAAAGGCCTCTGAGACCATCATGTCCAACCATTCCCCCAGCACTGACCAGCCCACCACTTGGGGGCATGGGTTAAATCTGTTAAATCCCTCCAGGGATGGTGACTCAACCACTATGTGGAGATTTTGATAGGTTTCCCCTACCAAAGGGGTTTGCACTTGCATGGCCAATGTGGTATTTCCAGTGTGGTTGGCACAGTGCACAGCTGTGCCCATATGTTGCAGGATCTGGTTTAAAGTTAACATTTGGGTTTGACTCACAGATTTTTATTTCTTTTTAACTTTAGGCAAGCCAACAGAGTGTCCATAGCCACTTCCACCCTGCGCTTGCTCCTGTCCTCTCCACCTTACAGAACTTTGTCAGCACAAAAAGATCTTCAGCAGATGTGTCTCAGAGAAACTCAGGTACAATCTGGGCAGCTGTCAGAATAGCTGAGTGTTATTTGCTTTACATTTGGGCTGTTCTAAAAGCAAAACTGAATACTTGAATCTGGTTTTCCTGCTCAGCCTCCCAGAAGACATCCCACTGATGTTTTAAGACCCGAACACTTTCCAGCAAATGACATTATTTTTATGTCTACTAGAGGAGTAATGGCTCCTCTGTTTTAAGTGCAGAACTCCTGTGCCCTGCTATTCCCTGATGCCCTTGTCAGAGGCTTAGCACGGGAATGGTTCTCGCATTAGAAACAGTTTTCTCAGGGAATAAAGCTGCCACCACTTCATTTATATCTTTGTTGCTCTTGAGTGTATAAAGGGCTGTTTTGTAATGAGAAAGTCACAATGCCCAGTTTGCAATTTGCAGATTTAGCAAGTGCTAAATCTATGACCTGCAGTAGCTTGGGGAGAGCTTGCTCCAAGAGTTGGGAATCTTTGCACATGTCTGGCCATGGGCAGGAGTAGAAGACCTTTCTCCAGACAGTGTGCACACACTGGAGTAGGTGTTTAGCTTTTGGGCAGCCTTCCTGGTGTTGTTTGAAAGGGCCATGCAGCACTGAGAGGGCATGTCATGCCCTGATTTGGGGTCCCCAGGGCTGAGCTTCCCACTGCCACAGACCTCACAGCACCCACAGCAGGTGTCTGCACAGGCACACCTGCATGAGGAATGCTGGCATGGGGGGGTAAGAATCATGGGCCTTTGGAAGAGACTAATTCTGGCTGTCTTCTAAGAAGTTCTTAAAAATTAAAGCTGATACCATTAGGGGTTGGTGTAGCAGAACCCAGGACCTGATTACACCATCAGCTTGTTGAGCCGTTTAGTCCCAGTTTGAACAATCTGTCTGAAGTCTCTCCCCTTTCCCTTCTTCCCCTTCCCCTCTTCCCTCTCCCCTTTCCCCTCTCTCCTTTTCCCCATCCTC